AAAAAAAAAAAAAAAAAAAAAAAAAAAAAAAAAAAAAGAATAAGGGAAGACTATTGTAAATAATCACAAACACATTAAAATAAATGCCACTTACTAGAACGACGCTGACCATCAGAATCTGACTGAGGAGGCTCAAATCGACTTAGCCTGCCTTTTGTTTTATGTCTCTCATTACGCTCTTCTTGAATTCTGTTGAAAACATTTACAGTCACTAAAGTAAGCCAAAATTTGCTCACATCTAATAAAAATAGAGCTTATCCAGGTACCATCTTCAAATAACGTAAGCCATTTGTAATTAAGTATCAGTGCTGATAACCAAGATTTGAGAGTCCCTCGGCTATCACAGCCATGAGCAAATTTCTGATATGTTATACTAGCAATGGAATACAAAACTCACCTTCAAGGAGAGGAAGAAATTCAACATTAAAACCACTGAAATTGGTTGTCTCCTGCGAAGTATGACCATCCCTCACTCCCACCCCAGTGAGTATACTGATTCCACTGCAAACAGGATTCTGAACAATGGATAAATCAACTGAACTGAATCCACATAATACAAGCAATCTAGATGCTGGACTAAATGCTAACTGATTTTCAAACATAAATCTTACAAAGTATCATTATAATATCTAAAACCTTACGGCAAGCTGGTTAAAAACCAGTACACTACATACTTCATACCTGCATCTGTAAGTACTGGCTCAATATACTTATGATAGTTATTCCCTGCACTAAATAAAACTTACTGTTTTAATTCTTCTTTGAAGAGTTCCAAATTGCTTTTTTTCTTTTCTTTCTCCCCTTTCTTCAGTGGCTATGAAGGATACAACAAGTTATACTTCAAACAAAAGAAGGCTAAACAAAACTAACAATTTGATAATAAGATTATTTTAGAATCATATTTTAGTGCCAATCATATGTTCTAATTATTTAAATTAAAAAGAACGCTGTTATCACTGAATGTCCCTATTCCCCCCAAATTTTTATTTAATTTACTTAATAATTTAAACAAAATGACAACAGTAGTCTTAAAGTAAAGGAGCCACTAACTTTATCCCCAAAAGCCCTGGGACACACAGGCCTGAATATTGGGGAGAAATGAATGAAAATAAAGTAACTGAACTGCTATGTAAAGTAAGTGCCATGAACAATTACCAAAAATATGCTCTTTTCAAAGCAATTACCTTTGGAAGATATGAATTACTTCAAATAATGGGTAACATCTTTGAAATCCCTCTTTCAAATCTGCTTCTAACACTGGGTTTTGGAACCCCTTTTTTTAAAGCCAAGATTATTCAATGGAGAATAGTCTTTTCAACAAATGGTGCTGGGACAACTGAACATCCACACAGAAAAGAATGAAGTCAGATCCCTACTTCACATCATATACCAAAAACCAATTCAAAATGGTTCATAGACCTAAATGTAAAAGCTAAAACTATAAAACTCTTAGAAGAAAACAGGCATGAATCTTCAGAGACCTTGAATTATGCAATGGTTTCTAAGATATGATACCAAAAGCACAAGTAAAAAAAGGAAAACTTGATAAATTGAACTTCATTAAAATTTAAAACTTCTGTGCTTCTATCAAGAAAATGCCAAGACAACCCACAGAATGGGAGAAAAACATTTGCAAATCACACAGCTAGTAAGAAACCTGACTCCAGAAGATGAAAAGTACTCTTACAACTCAACAATGTGGGCCGAGGATTTGAGTAGACATTTCTCCAAACATAACAAATGTACAATAAATAAATGAAAAGATGCTCAACTTCATTAGGTAAGTGCAAATCAAATGACAATGAAATATAACTTTACACTAAAATAAATTTAAGAAAAAACAAACAAAAAACAATTTTAACAGGTGTTAGTGAACATGTGGGAAAACTTGACCCCTCACACATCACTGGTGGAACTGTAAAATGGTATAGCCACTTTGGAAAACAGTTTGGCAGCTTCTCAAAAAGTTAAAGAATTTCCATGTGACCCAGCAATTCCACTCCAAATGGTATAGCCACTTTGGAAAACAGTTTGGCAGCTTCTCAAAAAGTTAAAGAATTTCCATTTGACCCAGCAATTCCACTCCCCGAAAGAATTAAAAACATAAGTCCACACAAAAGCCCATACACAAACATTTACAGCAGCATTATTCATAACAACTGAAAAATGGAAAGAACCCAATGTCCATCATGCATGAACAATATATGGTATATCCATAAAAAGGGAATATTATTGAACCTCAAAAAGGAATAAAGTACTGATACATGCCACAGCAAAGATAAACCTTGAAACATTATGCTAGGTAAAGAAGCCAGATATAAAAGCCCACATGTTGTATGACTCTGCCTGTACAAAATGTCCAGAATAGGCAAATCAAAAGAGATAAAAAGTAGACTGGTAGTTGCAGGGACTGGGAGTAAGGGGGAAATGAGGATAACTGATAACAGGTATGGAGTTTCTTTCCAGGGTAATAAAAATTCTCTGATATTAGACAGTGGTGAATGTTGTGCAACTGTGAAAATACTAAAAAACCCTTCAAAAGGGTGAATTTTTTATGGTATATAAATTACATCTCAAAAAAGCTGTTATTTTTTAAAAACTGCTTTCAGAGCTATTTTAGAAGCCACAAAAGAAAACTCAGTCTCACTATTTAATTTAATCATATTTATTCACCAAATTTGGCTCCTAATGACATGACCCACATATATCTACCATCCCCATAAAAACCCCACCCTCAAAGAATAAAAATACTTCTAACACTGAGAATATTTAAAAGGAAATATCACTCTTCAAATTATACTACAAAGCTACTGTAACCAAAACAGCATGGTACTGGTATAAAAATAGACATTCAGGCCAGTGGAGTAGAATTGAGAACCCAGAAATCACCCCTCAGGCTTATAGCCATCTGACACTGGACAAAGGAAACAAAAATCTACGTTGGGGAAAAGACTGCCTCTTCAACAAGTAGTACTGGGAAAACTGGATATCCATATGCAGAAGAATGAAACTAGATATGCACCTTTCACTATATACTAAAATCAACTAAAAATGCATTAAAAACTTAAGCATAAGACCTGAAACTGTAACATTACTACGGGAAAATACAGGTGAAACACTTCAGCAACTAGGTCTGGGCACAGGCTTTATGAACATGAGCCCAAAAGCGCAAGCAGCAAAAGAAAATATAAACAAATGGGACTATATCAAACTAAAAAGCTTCTGCACAGCAACAGAAACAGTTAACAGAGTGAAATGACAACCTACAGAGTGGAAGAAAATGTTTGCTAACTATGCATCCAACAAGGGACTAACATCCAGAATATACACAGAACTCAAGCAATTATACAGCAAAAAAACAAATAACCCAAGTAAAAAATGGGCAAAGGAGCTGAAGAGACATTTTTCAAAGGAAGACATACAAATGGCCAACAAGTACATGAAAAAATGCTCCATATCACTAGTCATCAGGGAAATGCAAATTAAAACTACATTGAGATACCACCTCACCCCAGTTAGACTGGCTATAATTAAAAAGACGGTGAATAACAAATGCTGTTGAGGGTGTGGAGAGAAGGGAACACTCCTACACTGTTGGTGGGACTGTAAATTAGTACAACCACTATGGAAAACAGTATTGACGTTTCTCAAACAACTACAAATGGAACTTCCATATGATCCAGGAGTGGAAATCATCATGTCAAAGGGATACCTGCACTCCCATGTTCATCGCAGCTCTCTTTACAATAACCAAGACATGAAACCAACCTAAATGTCCATAGACGAATGATTGGATAAGGAAACTGTGGTGTATATATATCATGTAATACTACTCTGCCATACAAAAGAATGAAATACTCCTATATGCAACATGGATAAGCCTGGAGAAACTTAAGTTGAGTGAAATAAGCAAAGCCCAGAGGGTTAAATACCACATCTCACTCATATGTGGGAGCTAAGAGAGAAAGAAGGAAGGAAAGAAAGACCACAGTAGTGCATTGGTCTTGCAGAGGGAGAGAACATTCCTTGGGCTACAATGTGGAGTAGGGGGGAACAGAGGAGGGGGAGGCAGGTGGGGACAACTGGGTGGGGGACACGGTACAAAAGCAATTTCTGGTAATAGGTATGCTGCCAGTATGAATCTGGCCCTCACATCATGCCACGAGGGTTGACAATCAGCTTTGTATCTCATGATTATTCATAATAAAATACAATAAAATTTTAAAAATAAGAAAAAAAAAGTCACTAATTTTGATAGTAATTCACAAAAGCTTCCAAAAATGTTCTGGGAAACATATTCTACATGTGCTAATAATTTAAATACCTCGGTTCAGAATTGTTTAAAAATACAATTCCATTATTTTAAATTTACACCCAAAACAACAATTTTTGACTTGCAGTATACTGTTAATAACAGCAAATGTACACTGTTCAAAGAGCATAAAATGAATATCATCTGAGTCCTACTCTAATTTATTATCTCTCATACAAGTAGATTACTAGTTAGAAAGCATCAAAACTCAACATCTCCCCCCTGCCAACAAAAAAAAAAATGAAAATAAAACCCCTAAGTCCTGCTCACTGAAAGTTATCATTGGCAATGTCATCTCTAAACATAAATGGGCAATTATTTAGGTATCACTTACAGGTTTTTTGGTTTCTATAACAAGAAGAGATGGTGGTCTTTCATTGGAAGACTGATTTGGAGGATTTTTTTGATCTGCAAATCTTGAAGATGGCTTGTAAATTTTACCTCTTTTTTCATCTGTTTCATGTTCTTCTGAAATTTAAAATACTAAGTTACAAAACTAATTATTTGATTTTCTTTACTATTTTTATTCAAAAATAAAAATCAGTAAAATGCTTTTAATATTAAGATTCATCACTGACAAATATAAACAAATTCAAATATCACCCTACCCCCCAAAATACTAATCATTTTATAGCAAAATTATAAGCCATATTAAAATTTTTGCAAAATACTCTGCTGTCTTGAAACTTGGAAGGTAATAAATGTTGGAAAGTTATTAATATCTCCTTATTAATCCACATTTGGCCATCTACTTTGCTAATTAATATAAACACTAGAGAGTGCTGATAGAAAGGAAATGTGAAATTCAAAAGCAACCAAACTTCTTTCCATAATTATCTATCTACAACCATTAAACCAAGAATTAGGGTTTGCTCAAGGACTATAATATTCACACTTACCTTTAGCTGCATTAACGACACCTCCTCGCACAAATGTTTTCACTTTATTACCATCACTTCCTTCAAAAGCAGCAAGAAATTCCTCATAAATCTCGGCAGCTGCTTTTTCATCCTCCTAAATACACATGGAAATATTAGTATCACATAATATAAAAATTATTGTGTATAGAGTTAAATTAATCAAGGAATAATGTAGATGAAACCCCTCCCTCCCCAGGTTAAACAGTCCTAATAAGTTATAATACATAATCTTTAATTGATATTAGATATTAACACTGAAACTAAAAGAGTCTTTTGCTCCTCTACTGACAATTTGTGGTACCAGAAAAGAACCCACTAAGCACAGGTTAACAGTAATACTTTATAAAGATATTTCAGGGGTCAAACTGTATAACAACTGACTATATGAAAACATATTAGGCTATTAATGAAGCTTCCAAGGCATGATGATTTAATTCAGTTAGTATAGTATAAAGATTTCCTTTTCAAACCACCAAAACATGGACATCAGAAGCTGAAACAGCAATATCTACTCACAACAGGTGGCATTAAAGAGCTCAGAAAAACCCTGACATTTTCAATTTTAGATATTCTAAATGTCCCCAAAACCTGTATGAACAGAAAGGCCAATGGAACAAAACAAAAATACAAAAATAAATCCAACAGCATGGGGAAATTCAGTATTCAATAAAAACAGCATCTCAAATCAGTGGAACCTGTATGAACAGAAAGGCCAATGGAACAAAACAAAAATACAAAAATAAATCCAACAGCAGGGGGAAATTCAGTATTCAATAAAAACAGCATCTCAAATCAGTGCGGAATAAATGGACTTTTCAATGTTGGGATGACTGGATAACTATTTGGGAAAAAATTAAAATTAATCAATTCTTCATACCATATATCAGAATGAACTGCAAATGAATTGGACTTAATTCTTTAAAATGAAACCACACAAGTACTAAAAGAAAACATGGAAAAATTCCATTATAAGCTGGGAGTAGAAAAAACTTGACTGAAAAACTAGAAATCACAGGAAAAAGATGGATAAATCTGATTATGTAACAATAATTTTTGCATGGAAAAAAACACCAGAAACAAACTAAAAAGACAATCAACAAACTGGGGGGAAAAAAACTGCACCCTGTATCAAAAACAAAGCATTAACATAACTTATTAAAAAAAAAAAGGTTTAGAGATGTGCCGACAGTTCACAGAAACAAACACAAGGAAAACTGTTCAACTTTACTCATAAGAGCAGTGCAAATTTAAAGCTATATTGAGATACCATTTTTCACCTAGCAGATGTGCAAAACTCCCTTGATAACATCATCATCTATTGGCAAGGCTATGGAGAAACAACCACTCGTAACTGCTGATAGGCATGGAAAATGTCCCTGCCCCTATAGAGAACAATTTGACCGTATGACAAATACAGAAGAACTACATGTATGCACCTACCATTCAACACAGTAATCTCACTTATAGGACTATATCCCAAAGATAAAACTAGCCAAAAAAAAAAAAAAATCAAAAACATATGCATAACGCTATCTGTAAAAGCATTTTTTGTAATGGCAAAGACTATATCACAAATGCCCTCAATAGGATTTTAGCTGAATAAACTAATGCAGATCTGCTGGAGTGAGGAGGATTGAAGCTATGTGGGGATCTAAAACCACCTGGACTGCAGGCAAATTTCAAAAAGAGCTTTTTTCTTAGCATGCATTTCTCTGAGTTCCCTCTTTTCCCATGGTTCTTTGATATTTTGAAACTTGGTTATGCAGCAAGATGACATTATTTGCATAATGTAAAGTTATTTTCCAGCTAGCCTGGAGCTGCAGACTTGCAATAAGTCACGTACTATCCAGACCCTGAGAAACCAAGGAAGACATCAATAAAGCTATGCCAATTCCATCCCTCCAGCAGGACCCTAAGATAACACCAAAGATGGGAACAGAAACCAAAGAGAGCCTAGGCAAGAACTTGCCCCTGGCTCCTTGCACAAAGCACCCCTAACTCACAGCCCCCTCCCACCTGCTTTCTATTTCACACATTCCATTCCCTCAACCCTCTAAAAACATCTCAGTAAATCTGAATCGGGGAGACGGCTTTAGTCTGGCCTTCAGGTCTACCAGAGAGATGGGTTACCCTAACAGCTCTCTTCAGGTCACAGGTGTTCCTGAATAAAAGTTGACTTCCACTATTACCAACATCTGACTTTTGGGTTGTTTTTGTTTGGGGCAAGCAGCTGGAGTTGGGCCTGGTAACATATCTACACAGTTATAAAAAAGAATAAGGAATATTTCTATACACTTAAAGTAATCTCTGAGATAGGTTTTAAAAAGCACAGTAAAGTATACTGTATAGAGCATTACAATAAATGTGTACACACACACCTGCTTACACAAAAATAATAGACCAGAAAATAGCCAAAATTGTTACAAAGAAGAGAGGAAAACAGGGTGGAGGGGATAGGGATAGAAGCTGCACTCCTCTGAATATACCGTGTGTTACAGCTTTGACTTGGGGGTAAAGAGAAGAATATCTTGGAGGTCAAGAATCTTTGGGAAACATTTCCCTACTGCCCATACACTTACTGCCCCCTTAGATACGTTCATTTCCAAGGAGAATTCAAAGTAAGTTTTAAGCATTACCTTCTTCTTTAATTCTTCTTGTTCCTTCTTACTTAAAGTCCGCTTAGCTGTACTCATTTTTCCAATACTGAATGCTTTAAGTTTGTTTTCCAGAAGAGGCTATGAAAAAAAAATTAAAAGCATACCTTTACATAAACATTCTTAATGCAGTATCTATAACGTTAATACACCTCAACTGATAATTAAGCCTTCAAAACAGATTACTGTTTAAAAAATGTCATTGCAAAGAAAAGCATCAGATACCTAACCTTGGGTTTGACTATAAGCATTTATTAAAAAATGCCTTTATTTGCTAGCTCAAGGTCAATAACATTCCAAATCCATTCTTTTTTTTTAAAGGTAAAAACAGAACAAAGAGGCAGACACCAAGGCTAAGAACAAGAGTAAAAGCATTTGAGGAGGAAAAGTACAGGCGATTCTGGGCAAAAGGAGCAATGACAAAAACAGATCCTCAAATCAGGAGAGGGAGGCCTACATTTCCATGGTCCAGTGGCAGGAATCTACCATTTACAACCGCTACTTTTGGTTCTATAAATTGCATCAATTCTTTTCATAATTTAGTACATTATCTCATTACTCATCAACAATACTGATATTTATGAACACAATATTTTCATTTTCTTTGCTGGGAATGTATCAGCTACATTACTTTAGGTTTCAGCTCAACTAAAACTACATCAATTAATTTTGAATATAACAAAATAGTATTTTAATGAGGTCTTCATTTATGTAACTTAGAAGCAATTTCCTTCTGAAATATGGCCTAAAAAAAATTGTCTGTAGACTTTCAGGTGTTCAATTAGTTACTCATTTGATTCATAAATGTAAAAGGTAAGAATGTTCATTAAACATAACCTAAAATACTGAAGAAATCTGAAGGTTTCTCTCTCCCCTACTAAAATGAGAAGATAGCCAATTACAAAATTAGATGCTATGGACTGCCTGATTATTAAAGTCTTGCCCTTGGAATCCCTTTGAAAAAATAAAGCAGTTTATAACCCCAAAGTCAATACAGAGCTTCAGGAACAGATTCAGAACATTTTTTTTTCCCTGAAAATCAAAAAATGCTTTGCCATCATTTGGCATCTATGGTTTCAACTTCAAAAGTTTAAATGAAGAGTAAAATTACATATAAATTCAACAAAAAACATAATTTAAAAAACAAAACTTCTGTGCTCAAATTTTATTTATATCCTAAGAGCTAAATTTAGACACTCAAAAGAAAAATGATAAGGAAATTACAGGGAATTTACTCAAAAGAATAATTCAACCCCATTAAAAATTGTTTACAGAATTTTTACTGAAATGAAAAAAAATATTAGAACTAAAAACAGGATATTCAGGATATTTTTAAATGTGTTCCTGTAAATAGATCTCACAAAGTAAAAATATCTCTATGCTTAGAAATATTTTTTTAAAATAATGTGTTATCAGTAGTTAATACCAGCTGGGGATGATTATGTTATAATTATATTTTCCAAATTTAATCACAAGAAAAAAAATTATTTGAAATAGACAACACACTACTTTGCAGATCCAAAAGTAAAGAAGCTTCTTCTCTGTGTTCCTGTATTGCCCTGGACAATGCACTTACTTGAGTGAACAGCATCTACCCCTGTTTGCTTCCCAGGGTAAGACTATGAGCTCTCTGAGAGCAAGAACTGTGTTTTAATCATCTGTGTATTTCCAGTGACTGGTATTCGGCACTTGGTTCAGAAAATGTTTGATGTAACAGGGGAAAAATAAATATGACGATTAACCATTTTATATCCAAAATACTCCTTTGTTTTCTAAATAAAGTTAAAAACTTTAAATAAAACATACCTCATACAGGAGCTAAAAAACATTTCCTTACATGAACTTGAGTTAATCATTAGCCCAAATGCAATAAAGAATGCTATTTTCAAATAGTACAAGATGAAACAAGTACAAAACCAAGATATTCAACCACTAAACTCAAGGACAGAATAAAAATCATTAAATATCCTTTCTTATCTTTACCAATACTCACTCTTGAGAGATTCTGATGAGGAGAATCACAAAGACTTTCACGAGCACTTTCATTCCTATAATTATGCTTTCTTGGGCTCTTGGGTCGTGTCCGACTCTGCATATCACCATCAGGGGGTCCAGATGCATCCATCTTCAGGAAAAAGCACAAGTTTTTTTAAAAATCAAACATATACTACTGAAAATCAGAAATAACCTGTGTCCAAATATTGACAAGTTTCATTATACACTATTAAAAATCACATCTCTAATACCACCACTGATTTCATCAGAAAAGTCCTTAGGGACAGGGAAAGTTTTCAATAATTCTAAGTTGCACTTGAAAGCTCAAATGTTATATTTGTAACAGTCAGTTGTATTCTTTGAAGTAACAGGTTCAGGCTGGCTAGTTATCTCACTTGGTTAGAGCAGAGCCTTATAACACCAAGGACCAAGGTCATGGGTTCAGATCCCCATACCAGCCAGTTCCACCAAAAAAAATGAAAATAAAAAACTCAACCTTTGAATAAACGGTTTGGGCTGACCAGTTAGCTCAGCTGGTTAGAGCACAACCTTTTAATGCCAAGGTCAAGGGTTCGGTTCCCCTTGCTGGCCAGCTACCAGGGAAAAAAAAAAGTATCATTTCCTTCATTTTCAAGAAAATGTCTTCCAGATACAAAAGTCTGATTAGCCATGGTTTGTCTGTAGTCACTCCTTCAAGTAAAAATGGTACACCATGAAAAAAACTAGTTTCATTTCTCAACTCTTAACAATCACACAAATACTTTTCCTCAAGACAAAAGTCACACTTTAGTAAGTAGTAATGGTTTATATGTACACAGATCCATACACAGGTCAAGACTTTTTACAATAATAGTTTTTACTGCTTCACCAAGAACATTCTTAAGTGAAACTGGCATATTTTTACTATGCCGGTGGAGAAGAATACAATGACCACTAGTACATTTTGGCATCACCACCTTGATTCATGTTAAAGTGCCAACAGTTTTCCAACAAATTGCTTTTGCACTTCCAACTGCATTTGCATTAACATAAATGTCAACACAGTGAAAAAGACAAATAATGCCTTAGTATTATTATGAAATAGTTTTAAACTCACAGACACCCCCCCCCCC